CAAAAACAGAAAAGCTCCGCAAATGCTCACAACACAACCAAATAAAGAAACGCGCTGCAAATACGCACAGACCACATCAGAAATGTTTAAGGGAACCGCAAACTGACGAACATGGCTGGGACATATTTATCAATGTTTGCACTGAAAGGTGTGATTTTTGTTTATTTTAACATCCTGATCATACGATTCCTTTGCTTCTTCTTTTTTTAAATTATTAGCCTAAATAAGCTGACGAAATACACAATTACTGTAACTGTGAAAGCATGTAAGCTGGCTAACTTACTTTACAACTTCTCTTACAAAAATTAACCATATGGTTTTACTATTAAAATTAATTAATTAATAAATGCATTTATTACATAAAAAATTAATAAAAACAAAAAATGGTTACTAGTTAAACCATGGTAACCACAAATTAACCATAGATTTACTTAACAATGGTATTTGTACAACTGTGGTTATACAAATGGTAATCAATACAACAACAAAAAAACAAGGTTAATTTTCATTTTGTTGGGGTAATTTTGGCGTTGGGGTCCTCGCTGTTGTGGTCTGTACTTGCGTTTGTGTTGTGAGTATTTGCAGCACGTTTGTTTATTTGGTTGTGTTGTGAGCATTTGCAGCGCGTTTCTGTTTTTGATTGTGTTGCGAGTATTTGCAGCACATGCGCTGTCAAAATGATGAAGATGTTTTCTTAATTTGCTGGTGCTTTTTCTATTTGCATGTGTTTTCTGAAGTTGCAGCGCACTGAGCTCTCTCGGCCACCGTACATATTTTCCTCAGCTTGTGGAAAAGCAAATTGTGATGAACTTTCATTCATCATATGGCTTATGCTGCTTAATGAAATATGTTTTTTTTAACTGTTCCTAAAATGTTGCCTCCATTTTTACTGTAAATTTTTACAGTGTAGGGCTACATGCTTATATGGCATCGATATGGTAAATTATTTCTGTTGATAAAATTATTTAAAATAGTATTAAAAACTATACTTTGATCGCTATAGAACAAGCATTACTAAAATATTCTAAAAGGCTTAAATAGGTTTATTTATTATTAATTGTTTAGTAGTTTAGTGTTTTTTACAAATTTTTTACATTATTTGCTCAAATACAGGTAGCTATACAGTCAGTTGGAATATTTTGGTTGATGATTTAATTTTACACATTTTTTATTTATTTTGGCATTAGCTTTTCTAGCACAATCTTACAAACCCCCTGCAGTTCCACCATTCCACCATGAACTGTGGGAAACAACCTCTAGATGATGAGTTTTTCTAATTAGTCTAAAGTTTTCTATTTTAAATATTCAGACTATAATCCTTGGCTAGACGTGAATTACCATAACTTGTCATTTCAGCTCTTGAAAATTCTTTAGACTCAAATTCCTTTCATCAAAATGTCTGAAGAAACATATTAAAAATAACAAAGTTGTCCCTGCTAATTTCCTGTTTTCAGGTAAAGGCCCTTGAAACATCACAAATGTCACATTCCCTGTGGGCTTTAAAGATATTGCTTCTCAAATTAAACAAAACAACTTAAATTTCATCCAAAACCTTTTGTGTTTCAAAGAGAAAAACTTACATGTCACATGCCTAGAAGGTATCAATCTCTGAAGACCTAGCGAATATAATCTGCAGGGGGGAAGTGTGTTGTACTAATACTTACGAACTTCATGACCTGTTGTGTGTTGTAAACCTCATTTACACATTTTTAACTTTGTATTTATGGTGTATGTTTGCTCAGCTTAAAGATAAATAGGCACATATTTCATAAGTCATGTTGTTGCTGCTGTGTTTTGCCCTGATATTTAAAAGTTCAGTTTTCTTTCTCAACAGGAGAGAGGGGTGTGGGTGTTTCAATAATCAGCTTTGCTATGCAAGTTAAACTTTGGAGGGCCTGTAAGGTTTTGGCCAAGATTTAATGTACATTTTTAGGTGTACATTTTTTTTCCAATTCAACTAACAATTGTTTGATCTAAAGAGGAAAGCAACTGGATTGGAGTTCTGAGAAACATCTTTAAGCCATAGGTTCCTGTTTATAGAAAGCAAATAGGATTCAATGGAGTTTTCGTTGTCTAAAAATAACCTGAAAAAACATTCTAGAACAAAACCATAGTAGAGGAAGGAGCCTGATATTAGCAGCTTTCATCTGACTTCTATTCAATTAGTAAAGCTGATTATCAGTCAGATGCAGCTAAAAGAGACCTCAGAAGACAACAGCGTCCACCATCCCTTGAGATACTCCACAGTTGCATAACTTTTTATTGATCATTCACAACTGCGACCATCTCCAGGGTTTTTCAAAGAAGTCTTGATCTGCTGTGCTTTTAATCAGTTCACCTAGTTTGTTTTTCCTGTTGAGCTCAAAGAGCATTTTCCCAAATGCTCTCACACAATGATGGGAAACCATGGTGTGTTTGGGATACGCAAAAACCCAGTGTCTCATCCCATTTTTATAACTCGTGCAGCCAAGAACAACAAACATGGAACGGAATCTTTTTGAACCAAGTTTGAGACAAAACTCAATCCAGGTTCCCCAGCCCTTCCAAACACCCACACCCTGGCCTTATTCTCGGTCTCGTGTTTTAAGGTGCTGTCTAGCGCCTACTGAACTTGCTCTCCACTGTTTCAGGTTTATTGCCTGGAATCTTCTTTACTCTTAGAGAAGAGCAATAGATATCAGCCATGAAAAATTTGTACTCAAAACATCTTTGACAAGTTAACGGTGCTAAAAAAGCAACGTTTGCAATAATGTAAAATAAAAAAAATTAAAATAAAAAAAAGTCATCCCCAAAAGTTTTTTTTTTAACCTTTCACTTCACAGTGCAATTCTGCACTTAAAATTTAATACATATAACTATATAATGTTATATTATATAACTACATAATTAATGTTACATTCAGTTTCAATTAAGGATTTAAATATAAAGTAAAAGTGATTTCACAGTCACCCATCCAAGATAGCTTTATTTTTATTTTTTTACACATTAAAATGTTAATACACATGTCAGACAGCATGAATGAGTAGTTACATTGTGCAGTTGTTGATGTTCACCTCTGGGTCTGTAGGCTCCCCCTTTGCTAAGTCCGCCGAAACATGCACTTTTTAGTGCAGCTGATCCGGACCTAACCAGCACCTGGTGAAACAACACTTGCTGGGATGGGGCCTCCATAAACCTCCGGCACCACCCTCTCCCTGCTTAAATCACTATGGGCACATGCTTGTGTCCACCCCAAAGTAAAACAAAATTAAATCAGCCAAATATGGTTGAAAGAAAAAAAAGACCAGTTTCCTACAATATCCCATGAAACAAATGAAAAATGACAACATTTACACACAATAAAGAAATTACATGAGTTTTGCATACATTTGCATCATAAAATGTATAATAAGGAGCATAAGTGACTTATGAAAATGACATAAAATAAGTGCAGGAAGGGACTGCCTATAAAACAAAACTAGTTTTCGTGTTAAATGTTGATTTCCTTTAAAAGTGGAAGGCCTTAAGCTACTTAAAAAGAACAAAACAAAGGCAAATCCCACCAAAAGTGTGTGTGTGTGTGGGGGGGGGGGTTACAAATCCATGTCCCTCATGCCAACCCATTACAGCAAAAAGTGTCAGAATGTCACAAAACCTCAAACTATAATTCATCCACTGCATAATTCAAATTCAAATAACAACAGGTGTTTTCACATGCTACTCAACTCTGCTTCAATGAGAAAGCATTGTTCCAGGGTCTCCTGATGTGAAGGAATGCTCACTACTCTGAGAGTAGCTAAAGACTTGGGCAGGTGTAGGGAATGGAGCCTGGTCTCCCTGTATGTATCCCTTCATTTGCAGATACATACCAGAGGTCCTGGACGTTTCAAACAATCGTAGTGTCTTATTTTAACGGTTCTATTCTTATTGCCAGTTGCAGCATGTTTAAAGGAAAACGGAATGCACCAAGATTGAACTATAACAATCAATTGGTCTTACTGTAGGTCTCAATTCTACATTGTGTCTAGTCTCATGTACGCCTCTAGTGGAGAAATTAAATAGAGCACACATGATCGAAAATGGAGGTCCCTCTCTGAAAGGTATTTCATGACATAGAGTGGAAAGAAACATCCAGGTGGTCCCAAATACATTTTACAAGACATTCTTACATAGAGACTAAACACAGTTTCTCTGTTATTATTTTTTAAAATCACTAACACTAAATACACTTTATGCGCTTTAAGGATGAGAACAACAAAGACTGTAAGAGATTTGTACTGGAGGCACATGTTTTTCCAGAAGGCAATTATGGCCAACCACTTGTGCAGTTGCTCAGATAACCGATTACAATGGAAAAAGGCACTAGGGATGATAACCTATTCTATACAAATCTGATTTACACCGCAAGTACAGTAACGCATCTTCACTAAACAGTTGTGCGCATTAATCTACTCTTGCTTTCACACCTCTAAATGTCTAGTGCACCTTTCAAAAAGTCTATATTTATAGTCTTATTTATACTGCAATACTCAAATGTAGTCTTAAAATATTTAAAATTTTCTCTACTGAAATTACGTAAAATTATTTAACATCTAAAAACCAATCAAAAATGAAAGGCATTGTGCAGTTTCATGCATACAATAAATTCCCTCGCAGCAAACAAGGTAAGTGTACCACTAAACTAAAACTACTGAATAACCCCCCCCCCCCCCATTTGCATTGTCAGTTATCCACAAGAGGGAGCTGTTTGTCACTATATTGAGTGGAAATGTGTTTCATAAATTAGAATTAGAAATTAGAATTACCTGAATTCTAGCATTATTTTCAATACTTGTACAAACAGCAAAATGACAATGAATGAATCTTGTCAGAGGGTAAACAGGCCCTTCAATAACTAAATTATATCTTTGTTAATCCCTTTCAATAGAATCTCTCCAATCTATACCAAAATGCCTGGTTGGAAATGGTGAAAACTTTTGACAAAATCCAGTTAAGATCTTCATCAGCTCTCCGTAATAAAAAGTGACTGATGAGTTAGTCACTGCTCTTCTCTGGAGGTTAGGATGCGAGTTAGGTCACTGAGTTTTGTTGCTACATCATTGGGGGAGCATCTTGGAGGAAGGGGGTAAAAGAAGAGCGGACAGTCCGTCCCTTCAAAACCTGCTGAACCCGGAAGTTGTTGACCATACTTCTCTGCAACTGCTCCTCTGCCGATGTGAACAGCAAGCTTCGAAACACTGCCAACTGAGAAAAAGCCAAAAAAAAAAAAAGAAAAAAAGAATGATAGAGAATATGTAAAAATAGGGAACACATTCAAATACATTTATTTAGAATGAGAGCAAAGAATAAAAGGAAAATTGTATGTAAAAATGGAGAGAACAGAGAAAACTGATGTCAGCAGTCAGCCAGATGAGCTTTTCCGTTCCATTTCCCAGGTTACCATGGAGCAATGGAACATGAAGTTGGAATAACAAAGACTCCCAGCAGAGTTAAAATAGCCAGTTTGAGGGGTGTCTCAAAGCCTAAATTTATGGCTTTCATCAGCTGTATTTAAAAGGGTCATATATATTCAGAACTCAAAATTCTTAGCATTCTCTTAGCATTGAAAGCTCCCCAAAAAAAAAAAAACTTGTTCTGAACTTCCACAGCTTTTTGATGTCAAGCTAAATATGTACTATTATTCCTAAACACCAGGAAAACTAACGACTATTAAATGCAATCAAACTACCGCTCTGCATGTCTTAAAAACTACCACTGTTGGGAATTAGCAGCTTATTACACATCCTTGATCACTTCAGCGTGATCTTAGGTTTTTGCAAAACATTTTACAATGGACTGTTTTGGGATCATTTTGCAATCTAATTGCGATTTTAAGAAGATCTAAATTATGACCATTTTAGGTCGATTTCACATCTGGTGCTTTAAAATGTTGTCTTGTGAAAGCCAACCGAAACAAGAAGAAAACGTGACATTGTCCCCATTTCAGAACCAATCAAATGGCCTATACTGTAGGTCAGTTGAATACAGGGGGAAAAATTAATATAAATTAATAATATTATTAAGTATTAAATCTGCACCACAGCACACGCTTAAGTCATTTATATGATACAATTACTTTAATTTGCATAAGATTGTTTTTCTAGCTAAGCTATTCTAATACAATCAGTTGACCACTTGTACCTTTAAATTTGCTGTGAGGGGGAAAAATACCCCCTAATTTCCGGTCTTACATTCCCCAAACATATCAGCTTCCTACCTGATCATGACTGACTTCAATGTGCCGTTTCATCACAATCCATGTCACCGCCTCAGTAAGAGGAGGAGTGGTCAGAGAACCTGCGTATGTCCAATAGTCATCAATGTTTTCTGGGAGGAGACATGCAGGGTCGAACTTGGTGAACTCTACCACGCTATCCTGGGTGGAAAAGGATGAGGATATTACACACTGTGAAATTGTAAAACAAAATGTATGCAACAAGTTTATCCCTGATCCCACTGTTTCCAAAGCATCATACTCTTGAGGTTCATAATCTCAGTTTATAACTCACAACAATGCCGAAGCTCAGTGTGTACAAAACATAATGTTTGATGCCTTACCTTGTGCCTGACTGCAGGCAAGGCATCCACCAGTTTCTGCAGACCCTCGTGTCTCTTTCCAATCTATGTAATAGCAAATATAATGTTAAAATGTAAATTTGATTTGTTTTTTTAAAGTCTACTAAGCTTAAAGATGTTTGATAATAATTATATCAGTACCTTCAGAAAGACTGCAATAACAGCTAGTCCATTCTCCTCAATAACAGCCTCCTCAAACAAACTGTACTTGTCAGAGTTCCAGTGAACAAGATGGAGCTGTGAAGAAACAGAACAGATACACACCCATGCCATTATGAATGAAATGAATGGGCACATTTACCATAATGCCTTTAATTTGGTTCAGGTTACCACAGTTGTTCATCCTGTTACACAATCCTGCAGTTGAACATAGCTGGGTTTTGTGTTTTTGATGTGCCGCAATGGCTTAAACCAACATCCGTACAAATAGACAGAACTCCATTAATTCAGAACTCTGGAACGATTAGATTCAACCAAGGAGACAAGAATGAAAGCACTTTACGCAATAGAGGATACATTTACAGGACCGAAACCTGAGCTGTTACACACACACACAGTCAGAGACAAATCAGTAGAGCTAAAGGAGTGTTGAAAGCAGTAAAAGGTCACATTCTCACCAGCGTTAACAAAGGTAAACTTGGCTTTTTGGCACAATAAAGTCACTCACACATGTCTCCTTATGTCTCCTCTGGCTAAAATTTTTGATTTTGTCAATATTTTTTTCTGAAGAAAGATAAACATGTATAGTGATCAAAGCCAAAATATTAAATGTCATGGATTTATATTTACGGAGTTACCCACAATTTTTTTTTAAGAGGGTGGTCAAAATGGCAATTTTCACCTGAGATTTGGAGCCAAATTACAGGAGGGTAAAAATGACTTTAGAAAGATTGCAGCATCATTATATTTTTACACAGAGATTGATATGTCTATTAGTAAAATCTGTTGACTTTTGCAATCTTTGTTGCAGTATATGCCAATGGTGACCACAGAAAAATGTGAAAAAGCACTTTGCACAATTTTACAAAATTAATTGGTAAATTCCTCGGTAAAATAAGTATTTGGTCACCTACAAACAAGCAAGATATTTAAGTTTTTTTTCTCCAAAGTTTGAATGCCTGTAACTCAAGAAGTATTAAAGATATATTAATGCCCTTTTAGACTTTGGGTCTCAACAATTTGTTGAATTTGACCAATTTTAAATTATTGAAAACCAAATGGTCACTTTGCATTAAGCTGATCCTTTTTGTATTTAAAGAACAATGTCTGAACAAAAAATAATAGAGAGTAGAAATGGATCTTGTTTTTCTCTATCAAGACAATTGCATGGAACACACTTGTATTAGTGCAAAAAAAGTCATTTTTTCCCCAAAGTCTGCATCCCTGTAACTCATGAAGTTTTAAATATCTTAATATGATTTTAGATTCCACTTCACATGTTATAACAATACAAAAAAAAAAGAAAAAGTAAGTGTAATACTTAATCCAGGTGAGGCAAATATTTGGTTTATTGATGTGAATACAATGTATGGAGAACGCAACCACACTTCCAGGTGAGGGATTTGTTTCAAACAGTTACAATACTGCACGTCTGAACTCTTTGTAGCTTCAGAAGCTGTTAAAATGAATAAAATCCCTTATTTCAAATATCCCTGAATCGGATACAAATATAGAATCGTATGAATAGACTACTGAGAGCAAGGTAGTGTGCCTCAACTTGACCATTTCAGTGCGCTTTTAGCACTCAGACATTTTTGTTCTATTGATTTGATAGAGGGAAAGCTACAATTCTAGTTTCAACAATATATATTCTTCAGACACTGCCCTTTAAATGTAATAAGTATCAGCTGTACACAAAGTGACAAACATTTTGTTTACAAACACTGAAAATGGGTAAAATTCAACAAATTGGACATTGAGAAAATATAATTTGCAATTCCTTTTGAAAACAGTCCAGAATATCCTTCCATATTATCGTCAAATAAAATTTCCTATACAGTGAAATAAGATTTTGGTCATATCGCCCACCCCTAGACTGCCACATATAGCTTGTTTGCAGTCATGTGATTCTGATGATGCGCAAAATTCAGATGGAGGGAATGGATGAGATGGAGGAAAGTCCATACTGTACTGGTTTAGACACAATTACAAGAGAAAGGTATAAACAAAATCACAACACATATTGCACGTGATCCTTAAGTAAAGAAAAGGAGCGATTTTTAAACTAAATTGAAATACTTGCCTGCCATCAAGGCGGTGGATATAGGCTAAGCAACGAACCCTGACTGCAAACAAGCTATTTTGAAAGTGAATCCCGCATGTACAGTGGGGCAAAAAAGTATTTAGTCAGCCACCAGTTGTGCAAGTTCTCCCACTTAAAAAGATGAGAGAGGCCTGTAATTTTCATCATAGGTATACCTCAACTATGAGAGATAAAATGAGAAGAAAAAAAAATCCAGAAAATCACATTGTAGGATTTTTAAAGAATTAATTGCCTGAAGCTTTGCTGCATGTACAGGGTATGTGGTCATTGGTCCTGTTAACAGCAGGAAAAACGAAACTTTTATTCAAATTCTGAATTGATTTTAGGCTAGAATGCGAGCAAATAGCGCTTCCATATAATCACTAAAAAGCGGTCACTCACTTCAATTTATCGCAATCTCACAATGTTCCGTTAAAATCAATGAAGCTCTCTAAACTGCAAAATGAATATCTTATTTACATTGTGTCTACGTGTGGCATTTAGAAGAAATATATTTTTTAAAATATATAAATAAAAAGGAAGTTAACGCCGTAAACAACAGGGCACTCAGTAATCTGGGAAGTCTGTGTGCACTGGGAATCATATTTTTTCAAACAAAGTCAAGGTAACACTCATTTTACGTACAGCACACAGTGAAAATGACATGAATATGACCGTGGGCAAATGGATAAAGTGCAGCATAGTTTGAAATCAGGAGTTTAAAGTTTGTCGATTGCACGTCTCTAGAGAAGATATCTGACTATTAGACAGAACTGCTAAACGGCGACAGCAAACAATGAAGAGAGAGAATGTGAGCGCTGTGTGCGCCGGCGTTCTCTCAGCACCACCAGAACAAAGGTCCCGCCTCAAACACATCAGCCAAACAGGAAAACTTATCACCCGATGCAGATATTTGAACAACTGCCAAACATTTTTTGCCAGTTGACCACTAATCTTAATATATCATTAGTATCTTAATATATTATATTAACCATTTGCACACACGGGCATTATCTGACTCGGCTCCTCCCGACCGCAGACGCAGGTTTACAAGCCACTTTTTCCTGCGTTTTTCAGTCAATTTCTTGCTTTTTTCCCCCCTTATGAACAACGACATTTAGTACATGATAAAAGCTCCTTGTGGTTTCTCAGTTTGAGCAATTGGAGCAATTATAAACGATGCAAAACATACACATTTTGATTTTGTGATAGTGGTTCCTATATAGAAAATGACCTCCATCTGCATTTCGAGCCACAGCAACACAGTGACGTCATGTGCAAACAAGCTATTCATCGATGTGACTATCCCACAATAGAAATAATGGGGTGTTCCTAACGGTAAAGTCTCCGCCCTCTATTACAGAGAAGCTCTGTCTGTGTCGCAAGAGAGAAATACTTCCTTATAGTAAAAAAGGACATACAGACGGCTTAAAAATATGACTAAGTAATGGAGTGATTTAGGGATGCACGATATATCGGCCACCATATCGGTATCGGCCAACATATCGGTTATCGGCTTTCAAAAATAAAGAATAATCGGTTATCGGTATCGGCCAAAATTTTCATATCGGTGCATCCCTAGAGTGATTTTGTGTTCTTCATTGTTACATAAGTCCTAAAAACATATTAAAATCCTACATAAAGGTACCTCAGCAGGGTAAAGGCGGCGGTCTATGGAGTGTTCAGAGCCCCAGGTGTTGTTCTCCCCCCAGTGAAAATGAAACTGGCATAGTCTGAACTGATCCTCCAGTGGTCCTCCTTTCAGAGCTAAAAGAGGTTCATTTCAGTTCACAGTTTTCTCACACCACAGAACCATTAATCTGTTCTTTTCAGCCACGCTGTCACACTGGAAATTGCTTTACTATTGTAAAATCAGAGTAAATTCATATGGGACCAAGATTTCCATTCATTTTGTGTAATTGTATTTTCTTTAATTTTAGTAACGATGGTAGCTGTTAATTCCAAGTCAACATTTTTGTTTTATTATAGTAACTGTAGTACATACAATGAAGATAGCTTACTGGATTTGTCAGTGGTGTCGTCGTACTCTACCAGAAAAGAGTAGCCATTATTCCAGATCTGCTGGCAGGTCCTCGGGTCATACTGCACCTTCAGGGGTTTGAGCTGCGGATCAAAGACGCTTTTACGCACCACAATGTCAATTGGTGACTGGCGATCTCCACCGGGAATGGCGAGCGGCTCCTGCCACATCGGATGCACTGGGAAGAGAATGACTGGTCAGGACAAGGAACCAGACAAAACTAGTGATCTAGGCAGCATTTTGGTCATCAAAAATGTGCAACTGCAAGCATGGTGCTCCAAAATGCTGTCTACGTAGGCAAAATCCAGTTTTTTTAAAACAACCTAAAAAGAACACAACACATTTCAGAAACTGTATGCCAGTTTTTACTACAAACATGACAAAAACATCAAAAGACTAGCATGCCTCATCAAATCAGAATCCATGACAGACAGACAGACAGACAGATAGATAAACATAAACCTACATTTTATGGCACAAAGTGCAGCCTCATGCGATGAGTTACACATTTGTTCTAAAATTAAACGCTTAAAATCCAAACAGGAAAAAAAAAAGCAACAAAAAGAAAACCAAAGCAGGACAAAAAGCCGACGAGCCGTCCTTCTGGAACTTGTTAGAGAAGTGAAAGTCAAGAAGAAAATATGCTTCCTTTTGTGACTCGATGCTTCAAAAAAAAAGAAAAAAGAAAAACTGACATGTGGAATGTCAGGAAAAACTGACTGTAGAGCTCAACAGGAAGACAGTCCGCAGAGTTTTATGCCACCTTTATGAATAAATTCCCTTGGGAATTTTATAGGTGATCCTTGAGCAAACAAGTAAGAGCTCCTTTACACAGCGAGACGCTCGTCTTACACAATAACTGCTTAGATTGTGGTCACATGCTACAGATTCTAAAAAAGGAGATGAATTAAAGCAGCCAGAGAATGTGACCAACTGCCTTTCATGAGATTAAAATGACATTTACTAGAGTTCTCGTCAGCCATATAAGTGGTCTAGCAAAGAGGGATTACAACTGTGCTGACCCATTTTATGGAAAGCAAACACAGCATGGGTTCTAACTAGAACTCTATTATAAAATATCAAAAGACATACTCATTTAAGCTTAGTCTTTGATTAAATGTAAAATAAAAATGAACTTTTGTAATAAACTTGATTTAAAAAGTGTACTCTTATATTCTTTCCCCAAACCATAGCTGATAGACCACATTTAACAACTAGGTTAGTTGTATGCAAACTTTACTTATTAAACTTCAACTGTTCTTTACTTTCATATGGCTTTCAAAGTATAAACAACTATAATCGAAAAAGACTGGCTTTGTTTGTTGATAAACCAATCTGGTTTAGATAAGATAAGGTCTACACAATGCAAATGACAGCTATAAGGTGCTACTAATCGCATGGTAAAGATACGAGTACAAATAACAGTTATATTAATATTCAAGAATATGACATTGTTATACGTATGGTATACGTCTTGCGTGCAAACCTCTTACAGCATGATCACAAACAATTATAAAATCTAAGGTTATAAATAACTACTCCCACTGAGCGACAGCTTAGTTTAGTCTAAGTTTACAACCTTATTCTCAACTCATTCTTGCAAAAATTATGTAAATTATCAATTTGATTGGCATTGAACATTTACTCAAGGATCTCCTTTCAATGAAAATGTATTGAAAACGCAAGAAAAAAGGCCCCATTTTGTACCCGGTTTAAAGTTGTTGTTTTTTGGCTTGGTTTGCTTATCAGTAACTGTCAACAAGTAACATACTCTTACTAAAAAGTGATAAAACTATTTTAAAAAGCTCTTACGGAGAAAAAAAAACCTTTAATGAGACATACTCTGTTGCACCTTCAGGGTAGTGTTGGGTCGTTCTCGAACGACTCGTTCGTTTTGAACGAATCTTTAATGTGACTCGGGAAGAACGAGTCGTCTCGGGGAGTGATGCTGCTTATGTTGAAGTGTTCGGGATGTGGTTTTTAATGATGAGACCTTTTTTGTAATCAGGCTCTCAAAGTATATAAAAATTTGGATATAGATTTATCGGCCAACATATCGGTTATCGGCTTTCAAAAATAAAGAATTATCGGTTATCGGTATCGGCCAAAATTTTCATATCGGTGCATCCCTAAAAATGAACAAAATGACTCGGAAAAAAGATTCATTCATTTTGCTGAACGAGACTCAAAGGTCCGAGTCGGTAAAATGATCCGAACTTCCCATCACTACTTCAGGGCCGTTTTCAATGAAGTGTCCTGCAGACATAAACATGCCCCATATCTCTTATGGGCGGGGCTTGCGGGAAAACAGTGACATTTGAAACTTGTAAAACCCAAGTAAACGGATAGGGTTCGTTTAATACATCCATAATGATAACACCCAAGGTTCATTTACCATCAAAACATGATAAACTACTGCAGCTGCCCTGAAACAATCAATGCAATTATGCTCATTTACCGCCGTTTCTTGTAAACATTCCATTTCACGCAAAACCCGGAAGTAATTTTCTCTGACAATAAACATACACATTGTGACTGCATAATCATCAACCCAGTTATAAAAGACATTACACCAGCTGTAATAAACCCTAGTGGGGAAAATAGTGCACACATAGTCCAACAAAACGACCACTTACCAAAACAAGGTGGTGGGATTTTTACCATGAACCAAATCAAAATAATAATAACAATAAAGGATAGCAAAAATGTACTAACCTTGACTGAGAACTAATTTGCTGGAGCATGCAGACAAGTTACATGCCCGAGCAGGTATCCAGCGCTGGCTTCTCGCATGCTTCAGCTGTCTGTGGATCTGCCGAGCGAGAGGCGCTACGACCGCTGCCAGTGTCACCATGATGTTTCCCGTTTACTCTAAAAATTCTTGGATTAAAACTCAAAGCTTGATTAATCGTAGGCGTCACGCCACGGCATGTGAAATATTGTTCTTTCGCGTGATCTCTCGTGCCGAACTTGTCCCAACAACACCCAACCTGCTCTCGCGCGCTACTGAGGAAAAGGGCCAAGTTACTTAACAACACACACCAAACTCCGAATACAGATCTAGATGTTTCCAGCCGTCTGGGTTAACAGCTTTTGTTTATAGTCAAGACAGCACGACGAAAATGACCTGCATGTGGACAGACAGGTTTAAATATCCCAGTAAAAGGGGATAAAATGGAGGATAGGTCCACTTTGGGGTTCGTCGGGTGTCCAGCCTCAATCCAATCAGCTTCATCCACTGAGGGGCGTGCAGAGGAGGGCCGAGACAGGACCTGTTTTTACAGTCTATGGACGGGACACGCGGAGATGATGTCACATTCAAGACAGGGAATTTATTTACAATATTATTACCCATTCATATATTATATATAAACTGGGTAATAATGGTAACCATTATTGTGTAAATAAATAAACAAAAATGCGTTTTCTTACGTTTTCCGATTTTTATTTTAATTAATAATGGTGTTTTTAATTATTTGTAATCATCTGTCCCGGTACAGTTTGTCAAAAGCATAATAAAACTAATTTAGAGCTTAAACATAATTTGCATTTACAATAAATAATACTAAAATCATTTACATCACTTGAAACGCGTCTTAATAAAACGCAACTTATCAGTGAGTTCGAACTGTCCGGAAGTGATTTCAGAACAAAGTGAACCGATTCGTGAACAAAAACCGGCACATAGTGCAATAAAGCACAGAAATTTGTGGTAGTGTACCCATAGTGGACACTACCGAGTGCACTCATTCAATCCTATAATGCATCTCAATACCCAAAGACTCAGTGTTGCTAATTTTAGCAACTTTTCAAACTACCCTAGCAACTTTTTCTTCCAAAAGCACCTAGCAACAAATTTAGCACTTTAAAAAATGTATTTGGCAACTTTGAGCAACTTTTGATAAGTGACTCAGACAATAAAAAGGCACACATTTTCCATCCAAATTACACAAAAACAGGAAACCACAGATGCCTAGCAGTACACACATCACATGAATTGAGTTAGCTGCTATTTGCAGTTGTTCAATTTAATAATAATAATTGAATAATTTGATAATTGAATAATTGTTCACTTATGATACACTTTGTTAGTAGCGTGTACCTGCGATTGTTGATCAGTTAGTACACTGTAAGAAAAATGGAAAATCTTCCAGGACATTATCCATTGTAACCCGAAAACACAATGCGTAATTTAAAATGCAGGTAAAAAAACAATTACGGAAAATTCTTTCATATTAACATAGTAGATTGTGCCTTATTTTTACAGACTTTTCTTAGAGTGTAGCATACTAACTACTAATACACCGCTTAAAGCATAATTGTTGAGAATGTGTAGAATTACTAGTTTACTAGCTATTAAAAAAACTTAAATTGTAATAATTCAAAAATGTGTACGTTTTCAATAATTCAATGTATTTAAAAATAGTTATTTTTATTGTAATATTATATCATGCATATTATTTTACAAACAAATCTAAATTAACATATAAAATATATTTTTTGCTGAGATTTGATGTGACAATTTTGCGTCGTGATTGACATCGCAACGTCATTTAGCAACAAATCGTCCTTCCTTTAGCAACTTTCTCTGAAAATTAGTTGGCAACACTGCAAAGGCTAGGCCAAGGCCATTTACTGAGTGTGGAGACCTACGGTAGAGACGCACACTTTTTTTGCGTTTTTCATCGTTTGCGAAACGAAAATTGCTTGAAATTACTTGCTCGTCGTGTAATATATATATATTTTTGCAAACATAGTATTTGCTCATATCACACAGGAAAACGGTGTTTTGTTTTCCTCATTTGTATGTCGCTTTGGATAAAAGCGTCTGCTAAATGTAAATGTAAACAAGTATCTTGACCAAATAAATGAACGGTTGGCAATTGCCCGCAAAGCCACTGTAGCCAATAACTTGCACCTTACTCGACCTGCCAACTAGAGGAAGGGTTAATGTGTCAGGTGTAGCATCTAAGATGAACCCTTCTGACGACAAATACCACGTGAACGGTGGCCTCTGACATCTACGCGAATAAGTGAAAATGTCAAATATTCTAATGTAAACAACGTGCAGTTAGGATATTGTGCCCTTTCATGGTAAATAAAGGTTACATGAGATACTCTAGTTTACTCAGCTGCTCAATTTGGTCAGTAAATAAAGCATGGGCTCATTTATATACCGCTTAAAGACTAAAAATATAAGAATGAAAGAACGGTGTAAATAGTTGTCTGAGTGTATTTTCTTTTTAAAAAGTCGCAATATTTTTCATTGTAGTTATAAGGCAATGCAACAGAAGACAAACCATCATACTATTCATACAGTAATAAAGTGTTACTGTAAAATTTGATGATCAGAAATATTACTGAGGTTGGTAACAAAAACAACCCGTAATAAATATGGAATATGGTTTTCTAGATGAAAAAATGCATTGAAATACCATGAGCACTTTTGTCAGCCTTTCTAAACCACTGCAAAATAGACACTCATTGTAAAAAATACAAAGTTGAAAAGCATTTTATCCATCTGAGTAAAACCTAACCGAGTGCAGTTCATAACTCAGCCGTTTTCTGTTCCCAAAAAACAAAGGACAGAAGGAAAAGATGACATCCATTGAGCTTGAACCATATTGTACAGATATATTTACATGTTTGGTAAGAGAAACCGTACAAAAATTCTCTGTTGTGGAAAGGTGATATCTTGTCAATTTTGCTAGTCTAGAGCAATGATGTCTTCATCATCATCGGCCGGCTGCTGGTCGAGGCGTTTGCGCTTAGACGCAGCATCATCCGTATCAGCATCATGATGCTTCCTCTTGCGGTTACTAGACTCCGGGGAAGTTTCCATGGTGCTCGAGGACGGTTCTTCATCTGAGTCTACGATAAGGACGTCATCGTCCTCTGCAGCTGCTGTAAATATGAGAAAAGTACATTAATCAAAAGCAGTGAAACTTTTTCGCCAGTGAAATACAAAAGATGATGTTTAGGCTGAATGTCCAAGCTGTACATATACAATTTTCAGGTGAAATATTCCTTTTAAAGACTGATGTTTTGCAGGCAATCCATGTTGTTCTTACCTTTAGATGAGGTAGATGGCTGGGCAGAATCTTTGTTACCGTTGGCAATGTTTTTTCCTTCTTCCGGGACATTTGGTGCAGGCGCCTTATCTGGAGCGTCACCCACTACTTCAAACTCGACATCCTTTTCCAATTCCTCACTGCAATAAATGCAAGATACATTTTAATATTCGAGAAACCCAAAGTATCATCCTTGTAGCTAAATGGAGCCACACTGACCTGTGAATTAAATTGACCAGAAGAGTGTAATCCTGTAGGAAGTCATCTGCTTGAAGACGGCTGCCGTTCCGAATCCCAAAGTCAGACAAAAATTTGTTATTGTTTGCTGTAGAGAAACAGAGACAAAAACATTAAAGGAGACCTATTATGCAAAATTCACTTTTACAAGTTGATTGAACACAGATGTGTATCCAGAGTGTCTAAACAATCAGCCTATAATGGTAAAAAATCCACCCACTCCTTTATTTATAATGCCCATAAATCATAAACAATCTCCCCAAACAAGCGGTTCCAGATTTTTCCCTACTCTTACGTTGGGAAGGCCCGCCCACGACTGGTGATGATCTGCCTTATTAGCATAGATCCCACCCCGAGTGAGCCGCACAGTCTGCCATGTATATATCATCACTAGAGCAGTCTCCACTACATAAACATTATAACGGTTCTGTTGTTGGCTATAATAATGAACACAAGAGTCACTGTATAAATTTATCTACTGCGTCCTTAGTGGCTCAGAGGCCGGGAGTATACGAAGTCTTTTATATGAAGGGAATGTGTCCAAGAAAACAGCTAAATTCGTATATGTTTGTGCAGATCATTGAGACTGCTTTGCAAACGAGGGTCATTAAAACGCAGGACTTGCACAAAAGTTGATTCTTCAAGATGGACCAATACCAATTGTTCGTAATCCAACTTCATATTCAGGATATGCAAGAACCTCACTTTATTTTGTGAATGTTTGCAAATCACCTTTCTGAAAATGCTTGTTGGCATGTTGTATCTTACTGTATTCACAGAGATCAGAACCATGTTATTTTTATTTTTAAGCCGAAAACGCTCAGCATCTTAATAAACATTATTTTTATTGCTTCTTAAAAATAATGACAGCTCTGGTCTCTGTGAATAGGAATGGTAACTTTAGCCACATTAGACATACAGCATGCTAACAAGCACATTCAGAAAGCCGATTTGCAAACATTCACAAAATATGAAGTGTGGTACTTACGTGTTCTGGATATGAAGTTGGTTCACAAACAGTTGGTATTGATTAATCTTTGAGAATTCTATTTGCTGTGTGACTGACATTCTCCAGTTTTATTACTGGAGTATCCAAAAGGCTCCGCCCTCTTCTGAAAGGGGGGAGGGGAGCAGCAGCTCATTTGCATTTAAAGAGATACACACGAAAACAGCATTTTTGCTCGCACCCAAAAAGAGTAATTTTGGGAGCGGTATAATAAATGATTTGTGGGGTAATTTGAGCCGAAACTTCAGACACATTCTGGGGACACCTGAGACTAAAGATTATCTTGTTAAAAGGGCTTAATAGGTCCCCTTTAAAACAAAGCTCAGTTATGTAATGCCAAACCTGGCAAAATTAGAAATTACCCTCATTACCCTATGGACAAAGAAATGTATAAATATATACATTTGAAAATAAATGTAGAAATAAACAAATGAATAAATAAATGTGGAAATATTTAAAAGTGCAAATAAATACATGTATAAATAAAAGAACAAATAAATAAATGTGGAAAAAAATAAAGAAAATAAAAGTTTATTATTATTTTTTTTTTAAATACTTTCCTTTGTGTATTTATTTTCACATTTCTTTGTAAATGTATTTATTTATTTATAATTTTGTCAGGTTTGGCATTCCATACAGAGTATATAGTAGAGCACGATGCCCTCTAGAGGCTAACTTAATTGATACCTTCAGTCTCTCCTTCCTCTGAGGAGATGAGGATCGTTCCTTTTCCATCCTCAATTTGCACATCTGGTGCCACCATGCCAAGCTTCTCCTTCAGTATCTGAAAAAGCAACACTATAAATGAAAAAGATTGGAGATCACACAAAGATAAAGGGTTTTGGATTGAAAAAAAATAGCTGGTACCTTGTCCTGAAGAGCTTGCACAATGGTCTTGTGCACATTAAGTTTGACTGTGACCTCAGGTTTGCTGGCACACACGAAACAGTT